GACATAAACTTTCATCTGATATTCCACAACCTAATTAATGGTGACACTTCAGACATCTCTCAAATGTCATGCTTTTATACAAAGATTCTAAACATCCCTATTGAAATTCCTTAAGGTACTATAACCTTAACACATCTAAAACAGGCATGTCTAAAATTTTCCTCAAAATATGCTGTTTTATGCATGCATGTATGTATGTATGTATGTATGTATGTATGTATGTGTGTATGTGTGTATTCAATTTTTGCTTTTCCTCAGCTTAGATTGCCATAGCAACATTAACCCAGTGATAAACACAGAATTGTTTTTATACTCACATTTTTTTTTCTCAATTTTCAATCTAATCATTAAATTTTTTTGTCATTGGCATATGTCTTTGTCCTTGCTTCTTCCTGAATTCCTTCATAGTGTTTACATGCATTGTCATGGGAGCATCTTACCAGATCTCATGACTTCAAGATGTCAACAGATCCAACTCATTTTCTACCTGACTACCAGAGTAATTGTTCTAAATTCAATTTTTTTTTTCTTGGCTTTAAATTTCATCACTCATGAAAAGAATAATCAGCCCTGCCATATTCATGTTGGCAGTAATGCACACATTATTAATAGCAGTAATCCATGGGGCTAGCTTGTACGTCACCAGGACTCTCTTTAAGCTGCTCATGCATTTTGTGAAAATTATTCTCATAATGTAGTCTAGGATTTCATTTAACTGGAAAAAAATGGTTCACGAAGTTTTCATTTACATTACTACCAAATATATGAAAAGACTACCATTGTATTCTTTAAATCTCAAATCATCTTTTTTTCCCCTCCCTCATTCTTATGGCAATTATTCCTCTACCAAATATTTTTGAACTGACAGCTCCTAGGCAGAATCAGGTCTCCATATATATTTTAAATATTGGGCTATGATTTAAATATCATGAGATTATAAATTAAAATTTGATTTCTAGCTTGTCTTAAAAAACTGGAAAACTAGAAATTATATGTACTTTCCTATAAAATAACAATTATCTGGAACTGAGGGACTACTGACTCTTTTAGACAACCTGACTCCTCTGCCCTCGATTTACCCAGACAGCTTAATTCTTCCACTACACACCCAGTCCCATAAGGCATTTGGGATTCTGGCCCCTACTCTACAATGGACTACAGAGAAACATAGTGCTTGTCTTATCTTGCCCAGTATGGGATGGAGAAGATTCTAGTGGACTTTGTTTATCATCTTTGTAACACTTTCAGTGTCTGCCATGATGCTCATCATATTATGACTGTTCATTAAATGAGTTTTAGTAGAAGAGAATGATACATACAAATGAGATATTACGAAACCTTCCTAAGCTTTCCGAAAGCATACGTTTGTTTCTCAACTTGATCAAATACCTTGTCTTCTTTATTTAATAGGTTTAGTTAAACACCTGCGTGTTTATTTTTTCCTGTTTATTTTATCTTGCTTTCCTTAATTAAATGTTCCTAGATGGAAGAGTTCATGCATTTTAATGTCCTTTGTCCCGTGTTCAGGGTCAAAAAATACACTGGTAGACATCATTGCTAAATGATACCAATAAACACATGTAGAAAATATTTCTGCATTCTTTTATTTTAACAGTAATTAAGTGATTAAATATATAGGTAATATAATAGCATTATTAGCAATAATGAATTTCCCCAAACCCTAATTCGAAGCTGTATAAATTTGGCACTCAACCAAACTATATTTATGTCTATAATTAGGGTCGTTGTAGACCCAAGGGTCTCCTATGGCTGCTAGAAAGAATTAACCTTCCAGATGCAAAATATGATAACATTAATGGCTTACACTAGGAGAGATTTGCCTGAGACTTCCAATCTTCCTTGACTAAGCTGCAAGGATGTGTTTCTTATTCGTGTTATCATCAGCAAGTCTCTTTGCAGAACCAGTGACCTGCACACAACTGAATTCAA